TTGTTTTTTTGAGACAGGAGTCTCAGTTTGTAGCCCATGCTTTAGTGCAGCCGCACGATCTTGGCTCACTGCAACCTCCGCCTCCCGGGTCCTGGTTCAAGTGATTCTCCTGCCTCAGCCTCCTGAGTAGCTGGGATTATAGGCACGTACCACCATGCCCAGCTAATTTTTGTACTTTTTTTTTCGGTAGAGGTGGGGATTTCACCATGTTGGCCAGGCAGCTGGTCTTGAACTCCTGACCTCAAGTGGTCCGCCTGCGTCCGCCTCCCAAAGTGCTGGGATTATAGGCAGGAGCCACCACTCCGGGCCTAATTTACGTATTTTTAGTAGAGGTGGAGTTTCACCATGTTGGCCATGCTAGTCTCGAACTCCTGACCTCAAGTAATCTGCCCACCTCGGCCTCCCAAAGTGCTGGGATTACACTAGGAGCCACCATGCTCAGCCTCTGCAAAAAAATTTTTTAAAATGAACTGGGCATGATGGTGCATGCCTGTAGCTCCAGCTACTCTGGCACACCGGTGAGGTGGGAGGATCGCTTGGGCTCAGGGGCTTGAGGCTGCAGCAAGCTGTGATTGTGGGTGACAGAGTGAGACCCTGTGTCAAAAAAAAGAAAACCACCAAAAAACCCAAGTTCAAGGTGAAAAGCAGCACGTGCAGATGGAGATCGTCAGCCAGCATTCAGACAACACAGCCAAGATCATTGATGGAGGTGGCTGCGCTCAGCGGATTTTCAGCGTGGAGGAAGCCACTTTCTGCTGGAAGAAGATGGCACCCAGGACTTTCCCCAAGTGGGAGAAGTGCTTCCCTGGCTTGAAAGGAGAGGCGCCCCCCCCCCACCTCCCGCCGCCGTTAATGGCTAATGCAGCTCGTGACTTTCAGGTGAGGCCGGGGCTTTTAACATTCCCCAAATCCTAGGGCCCCTGAGAAGGATGCCAAACCCACTCTGTGCTCTAGATAGGAAAACAGGGCCGGGCGCGGTGCCTCATGCCTGTAATCCCAGTAGTTTGGGAGGCTGGAGCAGATCAGGAGGTCAGGAATTCAAAACCAGCCTGCCCAACATGGTGAAACGCCGTCTCTACTGGAAATACAAAAATTAGCTGGCTGTCATGGCTGGCACCTGTAATCCCAGCTACTCAGGAGGCTGATGCAGTAGAATTGCTTGAACCCGGGAGACAGAGGTTGAAGCGAGCCGAGATCATGCCACTGCACTCTAGCCTGGTGACAGCGTGAGACTCTGTCTCAAAAAAAAGAAAGAAATAGAACAACGGCCTGGATCTGGACGACAGCACATCTGTTTAACACTGGGCTTACGGAATAGCTGAAGCCCACTTTGAGACCTGTTGCTCAGAAAAAAGATTCCTTTCAAAACATGACTGCTCGTTGAGGACACACCCGTCGCCCCAGAGCCCTGATCGAGATGGATGGACGACGTGTTTCCGTCCTTGCTGGCACAGCATCCATTTTGCAGCGCGTGGATCAATGAATGAATGAATGAATGACTTGGAAGCCCAGATGACTCCTTGGCATGTCATTTATGAGTGAATGAATGAAAAGGTGTCGCTGTGTCACCCAGGCTGGAGTGGAGTGACGCCATCTTGGCTCACTGCAGTCTCCACCACCTGGGTTGAAGCAGTTGTCCTGCCTTAGCCTCCTGAGTAGCTGGGACTACAGGCATGTCCCACCACACCCAGCTAATTTTTACATTTTTTCTTAGAGGTGGGATTTCGCCATGTTGCTTAGGCTGGTCTGGAACTCCTGAGCTCAAAGCAGTCTGCTGGCCTCAGTCTGCCAAAGTGCTGGGACTACAGACCTGAGCCACTGTGCCTGGCCAAGTCTTATTATTTTTTTTTCTTTTTTTGAGACGGAGTTTCGCTCTTGTTACCCAGGCTGGAGTGCAATGGCGCGATCTCGGCTCACCGCAACCTCCGCCTCCTGGGTTCAGGCAATTCTCCTGCCTCAGCCTCCTGAGTAGCTGGGATTACAGGCACGCGCCACCATGCCCAGCTAATTTTTTGTATTTTTAGTAGAGACGGGGTTTCACCATGTTGACCAGGTTGGTCTCGATCTCTCGACCTCGTGATCCACCCGCCTCGGCCTCCCAAAGTGCTGGGATTACAGGCTTGAGCCACCACGCCCGGCCAAGTCTTACTATTTTTGAAACAAAGTCTCTCTGTCTCCCAGGCTGCAGTGGAATTGCAGTCACAGCCCAGTGCAGCCTCCGCCTCCCAGGCTCAAGTGATCCTCTTACCTTAGCCTCCTAAGTAGCTAGGACTGCAGGTGGGCACTGCCATGTGCCTGGCTAGCTTTGTTTTTATTTTTGTAAAGATAGGGTCTCCCTGTGTTGCCCAGGCTGGTCTTGAACTCCTGGCCTCAAGCGGTCCGCCTGCGTCGGCCTCCCAAGAGTGCTGGGATTACAGGCAGGAGCCATCGTGCCCGGCCCATAACTCTCATGGTTTAGAAATATGTTTGTAAGGCTGTAGGTGCCATGGAGAGAGAGTCCTCTGGTGGCGCTGGGGAAATTGAGTGAATTGAATCCCCCTGGAAAGGATTTGTCCTTGTAGATGCCGTGACGAACCCACGTGATTCGTGGGAGGTCAGATGTCAGCTCAGCGGAAGTTTGGGAGAAGTTGATCCCAGTCTTCAAGGATCACGGTGAGGGTTCAAGACTTGAGTGGAGGGCAGAGCTGCAGAGGTTTTAGCAGCAAAGAAGGAGAATTAGAAGAACCTGGAGATGCGACTCAACGGCCACGATCTCATGAGAAAACGTTCACACGTGAGGAGTCGCCTCAGCTGCGCTCTAGTCCAGGTGCAGATGCTGTGGACGTGGTCCAGAGGAGAGCAAAGGACCGGGGATATCCTGCAGCCTCAGCTGGTGAAGCAGCTACAGGTTTGAGAGGACCGACTCCAGTTCTGAAACACGTTCTGCTGCGGGTAGCAAATGCCGTCAGGCAGCCGCCCCACGGAGAAATCTCACGAGAGGGAGAGTCCGTCCGTGCAGCCGACTCTTTTGTAGTCAGAGTTTGAGAAGTTGCCCCAGCCTCCCCAGCCTTCAGCAGCCGCCACCCACATCCGGGTGAGACCCTCGGGGAGGTGAGGGCTCACACGCAACTCCAATGACTGTCACCGTGGCTTGGCATTTCTTTATTATTGAAGATGGGGGTCTCACTATCACCTGGGCTGGGGTGCAGTGGCACGATCATAGCTTGCTGCAGCCTCCGCCTTCCGGGCTCAAGCGATCCTCCCGCCTCAGCCTCTCATGTAGCTGGGGCCACAGGCTTGTGGCACCACACCGGCTTAATTGAAGTGCATCCATTGTTTTAATCAGACACAGCGCTACCGCACACGTTCTAGACCACGGTACGCTGGGAACGTGACTCTTGTGCAACTGGGAAACTGGAAGATTTGAGTGACTTGACTGCGGCGTGTAACCCTCAGGGCTGCCTGGGATGATCACAGGGCCTTTCTCGGACAGGAGCGCAGCAGCTTGCGACGCCAGTGCCTTTGTCCGGCGTGGCTTGTTCAGCTGGGAGCTCCTGTCCTTCCATTCTTGACAATGGCTGTGCTCTGGTTGCCCTTCCTCACCTGTGGCTCCCACGTCCTGCCGGTTGGCAGGGCACCTCTTCCCCTGCACATCTTGGGGGACAGCAGCCAACTCTGGTTCCCCCCTTCTCTCATGAAGGTGGGGCTTCTGTCTGCCTGGAGCCCCAGGGTGGGGTCGGGGGGCGGCTGGGGCCTGGGCGAGGGAGGACCTGGTGGGATCTGTGCGGAGCGGCGGGTGGCCTGTGGTGGCCCCAGGTGCAGGGTTCTTGGACTCCTGGGCGGGTTCCTGGCTCAAGGGTGTCAGGAGGTGACAGTGGCGTCCCTGGGGTTGCCGTGCCGTAGAGCTCAGTTAAACCATAGTCTCGCCCTTTGGTTCTGCAGGTGGGACCCCTCCCCAGGCTGCCTGAGGCTCCTCGAGGGAACTGTCCTGCCTCCTGTCGGGGCCTGCGCCGAGAGTGGGCTCCATGCCAGCTGGGGTCCGCTGGCCCTCTCACTCCAGAGAGCGACCCACGGAGTCCCCTCAGCCATGAGCCCTGTCCAGACTCTGCGTTTCTCTGAGGGCGGCAGTGGGTTTGGGGGCCCTTGGTGGCCCTGGGCTCGGGAACATTTAAGGTGGTGTGGACACGGTGAGGGGCTGTGGGCTGGGGTCCCACCATCCCAGGAGCAGGAACTGTGCATTCGTTCTCAGGACCGGAGGCCTCTGTCCTTTCCCCTGGGGTAGCAAGTTGGCTGTCTGGCCTTGCTTAGGTCACCTTTGGCTCCACTGTCCCTCAAGCCACGCCGATCCCTCCCCAGCTCCCCTCTGCACCGAAGGGGTGGGCTGGACCCACTCTGGCATCATCACAGCCCCAAGTGGCGTTCAGCCTGCCCCGCTCCACCCGTGGCTGCTGGAGAACGAAGCCCGAGCCTGGGTCACGGCTGGGGGCCTCCTGCCCTCTGGTCCCCCGTCAGCATCACCCAACTGCCATTAGCAGCAGCAGCCTGGTGGCTCCCATTTCCCTGCCTTGGGTCTGCCTGCTGTCACCTGTTTCCCTCCCTCTTTCCTGGACAGCCCGGGGCCTGCGGACAGGGACTGTTGTGTGGCCCCTCTGTGTCCGGGAGTGGACTGTCCCCGGCTTCGGGACCCTCAGGGCCTCTCCCTGGGATTGGCAACCATGCCCTCCTGGCAGCATGCTCTTCTGCCTGTGCCACCCCCCCCCACCCCTCTTGTTCCCCAGAAAGCCCCTGAGCCCCACCCTTTTCGTCAAGACCTCTGGCCTCTGATGTCATGCAGCGCATGCTTCCCAGCTGGGTTCTGGGACAGGGACGGTGCTTGTCATGCCCTGGCCTCAGAGCCCCTTCCAGCATAGCAGCCCCCTGCCCATGTCCTCCACACCCTCTGCCCCTGTCCTCAGTTGCTCTGCAGCCCCGACCCCATGGGGGCCTCGCTGGCGCTCATCCGTGCCTCTGTTTCTCCACAGCTGTGAACCGTGAGCTTTGAGGCAGTGGGACCTGTCAGCAGAATGTCTCCTGCCCCCGAGAGCGACCCCGAGGCCACCAAGATGAGCACCGCGGCCTGGCCGGCCCAAGCGCCTCCGTCTCAGTAGCCAGGAGCTGCGGGCCCTGCCCGCCCGCCCGCCGCCGGGATGTTCTAGCCTCAGAGGAGCCAGGACCTCAGGTTTCCACAGACTTAGGATTTGCACGGCAGCAGAGTCACCGTGGAGAGGCCAGGGTATCACAAACTTATGGATTTTGACAAGAAAGGAGGGAAAGGGGAGACAGAGGAGGGCCGGAGAATGTCCAAGGCCGGTGGGGGCCGGAGCAGCCACGGCATCCGGAGCTCGGGGACCAGCTCGGGGGTCCTGATGGTGGGCCCTAATTTCCGTGTCGGCAAGAAGATCGGCTGTGGCAACTTCGGAGAGCTCCGCCTAGGTGAGGCCCGCGCGGTGGCGGGTGGGGGCAGGGGCAGGAGGCCGTGGCAGTGCCGGCCGAGGTCACAGCAGCCTCTGGCGGGGCCACCCCAGGTCCCCGGCAGGTGTGTTGAATCATGGGTCGATCGTGGTGTGAGCGAGGAGGTTCTGCGGGGAGGGTGGGTTTCTGGCCCTGTCCCCTTTTTGGGAAACAGTTCTGTTGGGAAGCAGGTGGCCCAGAGCAGGCCAGGCCGCCAGGAGCCAGAGTGCTAAGTCAGGAGTGACTTCCGCTGCCCGTGTCCGTGCAGGACGAAGCCCCGGCGTTAACCGCAGGCGCGTGCCCGGCACTCAGCTCGTGGGAGGTCTCAGCCGGCCCAGAGCAGGCGTCGGGTGGCTGGAGTGACTTGTGTGGCAATGACGCTGTGCACCACTCCTAGCTTCACCCTTTGAAAGGCAGCGCCTGGCCCACCTGGCTCCCTCCTGTCTGCCCACACCTACCTCCCCTGCCAGGGTCTACTGGAGGCGGGCATGAGGAAGGGGCTGAGGGCTGAGCCTCTCACCGGCCAGGGCCACCTTCCCAGGGTGGGTGTGCCTGAAGATGACCACCAGGCCTCGGGGAGCTCTGAGCACGTTGGTTGCCGGTCCCAGTCCGTGATTAGCTGAGCCTGGGACCTGGATCATCCCTGAAAATCCAGTTACATTCATTTTGTGATGAATGTTTGCTGCTGGATGTAACAAATGCCTGAGCTCCTGCGGGAAGGCACATGGCATCTTTTACTGCGGTTCTCCGGGGAACCCAAGGCACCCCCAGTCAGTGTCTGTAGTGGTGGAAATCGGGGTCCTTGTGAAGGAGTGAGGGATGGGCAGGTCCAGGAGGCCACAGCAGTGTATCAGCCTTACATTGGCGCCCAGAGCAGGCGGTACCAGAATCTGGCCCCTCAGCCCAATGAGGCTGTCAGATGAGGGAAACTGAGGCCAAAGGAGTGGATTTGACGTGGCTGCACCTTCAAGAGCGGCCACCCAGGGGTGCAGGAGCATGGGCTGTGGCCACCTGGACCCAAGAATGTTTTGTGGCCCTGCTTCCTACCTCTTGCCTCAGTTTACCCACCTGTTAAATGGGGATGAATGGCATTTGCCACTTGTGGGCGGAAGTGGGGTTCAGCAGGCAGTTAGTGCGGCAGAAGTGTGTGTCCTGTGAGTCAAGCAGCTTTTCCCAGGCGAGGGCTGCTCTGGGGGTCACTGTTGGCTGCTTCAGTGTTTTGTTTTTCGAGGTGGAGTCTTGCTCTTTTGCCCAGGCTGGAATGCATTGGCGGGATCTCTGCTCACCGCAATCTCTGCCTCTTGGGTTCAAGCGATTCTCCTGCTTCAGCCTCCTGCGTAGCGGGAATTACAGGCACCCACCACCATGCCTGGCTGATTTTTTTGTATTTTTAGTAGAGATGGGGTTTCACCATGTTGGCCAAGCTGGTCTTTAACTCCTGACCTCGATCCGCCTGCCTCCGCCTCCCCAAGTGCTGAGATTACAAGCATGAGCCACTGTGCCTGACCACTTTTGTTCTCCTTGGCTGCACCCAGAGCCCCGGGAGGCCGGCTTGAGGCAGGCCCCATCCAGAACCAGAGTCCACCCCAGCCCTTGGGGAGGCTGCCGGGATTCCAGCTCTGCACAGAGGCTGGGTGTGGGCCACAAAGCCTCACTGCCTGTCCGACAGCCTGTGGCTTGGGAGTCCCTGGGTGCGGTTTCCCAGCCAAGAGACTGAGCTTTCCCTGCTGGGAGCTGTGGTCTCCTAGCCCTGCATGTGTGTGCACGCTCATACACGCAGCCACATGCAGATGTGTACGCATATGCCCACACATGCATATCTGCACACTAACACACACACAGGGACGCACGGCCACAGACGTGTACACAAGCACACGCACATACGTACACGCACATCCGCACACAGGCACGCATGGCCACACATCTACACACCCACACAGGGACAGCCGCACACGTACACACACGCACATCCACACATGCATATCTGCACACACCTACACACGCACATCCGCACACAGGCACCCATGGCCACAGATGCATACACACACACACACATCTGCACACAGGCATGCACAGCCACAAACACATGTACATAAGCACACATGCATATCCACACATGTATACACATGCACATCTGCACACAGGCACCCATGGCCACAGACACGTACACAAACACACACATCTGCACACAGGCATGCACAGTCACAAACACGTGTACACAAGCACACATGCATATCCACACACGTACACACGCACATCCACACATCCACACACAGGCATGCACGGCCACAAACACGTGTACACAAGCACACATGCATGTCCACACACGTACACACGCACATCCGCACACAGGCACGCATGGCCAAAAACGCGTACACAAACACATCCGCACACATCCACACAACCAAACACGCACATCGGCACACGCACATCCGCGCACGCGCACATCCGCACACACGCACATCCGCACACACACATCCGCACACACACACATCCACACATACACCTGGCACAGCCCGCAACCTGCAGCCCAAGGAGTGGCCCTGGATGGCTTTGGGGTCCCAGATGGCTACGTGGGCCCTTGGGTGGCGGTCGCAGGTCCCTGGCACCAGCTTTTAGGAAGCTGTGGTTTGCGCTCTCTTCACCCTGGCGTCTTCGTGTCGTGTGCTGCGGGAGCCGCACATCATGGCTTCTCGGTGCCAGGAGGCCGTCCGTCAGGGGACTCCCCACGCCTTCTTCATCTGTTCTTGGCGCGGGGACCACAGACGTTTCTGGCCGTGGGCTCTTCTGAGAACTGCCCAAACAGAGCTGAGTAGCACGGGGCGTCTCGAGCACCGCCTGGGCCCGCCCTCAGCTGGCGGTGGCTTTGGTGCTGAGCCTGTTCAGGACTCAGGTTGCTGAATATTGTTCCCTTGTTGAGAATGTTCTAGAATGGGTCAGTTTTTCTGTTTTCGAGGTTTTATGTTTGGTTTAAAATGTTGACTGTGCTCTACTTAGGTGTGTGTTTCTGACTTTATCCTGCTTGGGATCCATTGACTCCTTGGAGCTCTGTGTTGGTTTTTTTTGTTGTTTTTTTTTTTTTTTTTTTTTTTTTTTGAGACGGAGTTTCGCTTTTGTTACCCAGGCTGGAGTGCAATGGCACGATCTCGGCTCACCGCAACCTCCGCCTCCTGGGCTCAAGCAATTCTCCTGCCTCAGCCTCCTGAGTAGCTGGGATTACCGGCACACGCCACCATGTCCAGCTAATTTTTGTATTTTTAGTCGAGATGGGGTTTCACCATGTTGACCAGGATGGTCTCGATCTCTTGACCTCGTGATCCACCCGCCTCAGCCTCCCAAAGTGCTGGGATTACAGGCGTGAGCCACCGCGCCCGGCTTGGTATTTTTTAAAATTAACTTTGGAAAAATGTGAGCCATTATTTTGTGGTACAGTTTTCTACCTTAGCCTTGCTTTTTTTTTTTTGAGACAGAGTTTCACTCTTGCCACCTACGCCTCGGCTCACTGCAACCTCTGTCTCCGGGTTCAAGTGATTCTCCTGCCTCAGCCTCCGGAGTAGTTGGGATTATAGGCACAACACCTGGCTAATTTTCTGTATTTTTAATAGAGATGGGGTTTTTCCATGTTGGTCAGGCTGGTCTTGAACTCCTCAGGTGATCTGCCCACCTCAGCCTCCCAAAGTGCTTGGATGACAGGCGTGGGCCACCACGCTTTGTTTTTAGACAGAGTCTTGCTCTGTCGCCCCTGCTGGAGTGCAGTGGCACAATCTTGGCTCACTGCAACCTCTGCCACCTGGGTTCAAGCGATTCTCCTGCCTCAGCCTCTTGAGTAGCTGGGATTACAGGTGCTGTCCACCATGCTCAGCTAATTTTTTGTGTTTTTACTAGACACCAGGTTTCACTCTGTTGCCTAAGCTGGTCTTGAACTCCTGACCTCATGTGAACCACCTTCCTTACCCTTCCAAGCGTGTCTGGCTGGATTGCGGAGTTTTAGGCCCAGCCTTGCTTCCGTTCTTGGATTCCGGGTGTGTGTGTGACAGGAGTGCTCGGCCCTGTCCCCAGGTCCCGCAGCCCCGGCTGTTCGCCTCAGCCTCTGTGCTCTGCTGGCGCCGGGCTGTGCAGTGGCCGCTGCTTGTGTAAGTTCGCTCCTTTCCCGCAGCCTCCAGCCTCTGATGGCCATCGTGACTCTGGCATTGCTTGCGGCATTTTTCAGCCCGTCTGATTCTCCGTTGGGTCTCTCTGCCGAGGCTTCCCACGTGCGCGTTCACGGTGGCCATCTTTTCCTTTCAGTCTTTGAACACGTCTGTGCTGTTTTAGTCCGCTTTGTGCTACTGTGCCACAGACTGGGCCATTTGTGATGAACGGAAATTGATGGGCTCACAGTTGTAGAGGCTGGCGAGCCCCAGATTGAGGGCGACGTCTGGCTAGGACCTTCCTCCTGTGTCTTCCCGTGGTGGAAGGCAGGAGTGGGAGGACGGGAGGGGCCGGATTTACCTGTTAATCAGGAACCCGCTCCATGCTGAGACATTCACCCATCTTCAAGGGCAGCAGCCCGGGTCCTCCCACCGGGCCCCAGCCCCAGCGAGCAGAATTGGGGATCAAGTTTCCAACATGTGACCCTTGGGGGACACATCAAAGCCACAGTACTGTGTGAAGTGACGTGTGGGTTGCTGCTGACTCTGTTCCTTGTCAAGGTCACGCCCACCCCCCCACACCCGACCTGTGAGACAGCCTCACTGGATGTGGCCGTGGTGTGTGCCGTGAAGTGTGGAGGGTGTGATCTCCTGGACTGGGCCCTGCGTTTGTCCCGTGGCTTACTTTGCTTCTGTCAGGGTTGGCTTCAGGGTTGTTGGCGCAGGGACTCCAGGGCCAGGGAGCCCTGCACCAAGGTATGGACCTTCTGGGTTCTCAGCTGAAGTTAGGGTCTGGGGAGGGCCCCTCACTCCGCTGTTGGCACTGTGGCATCCTCCTGCCCGTGTGTCCTCCAGAACCTCCTGAGCCTCTCTGGAGCTGTTCTCCCAGGCCTCGCGGGCTCTGCTGCCCTCCACGTGCACAGAGTGCTGCCGGGGGCGCCGTTTGGCTTCCAGAGCCCAGAGCACCAAGCCGCCTCCCGGAGTCTGCAGATCCCCAGGCCTCTGACACTGCTGCACACGCCCAGCCCACACCCAGGTCTCTGACGTGCCAGCTGCACACAGCGGCAGGGGTCAGGCGAAGAAGGTTTCTTCCACGGAACGGAGCGGAGGAGCCGGGAAAGGCCGTATCACCATCGATGCATCAGAGCCTAAAAGGCCTGCTCATCAAGACAAGACACTGCCAAGCACATGAGGCCAGCCAGGCTGGGGACAACGTTGGCGAGCGTCTGCCCGACCGTCAGGGAGCCACAGCTGGATAATAAATCCAGAGATGTCAGGGGGACAGCGTCGCACACAGGCAGACGCTCTGCTGGAGAAGGGGGCAGCTGCCCGCAGGACAAGCCCCACAGCCGCGCCCACCGCAGCTCTGCTCTGGAGAGGCAGGACTGTAGACAGCAGGGCGTCCCCCAGGGGCAGATGGGCAGCCACTCCCATCCTGTGAGCCGCGGCACAGCGCCAGCCAGGCACACTGTGCACCAGGGCGAGGAGCCCACCACAGGGGTGGGGAAGGGGAGATAGGTGGGGGCCGTGGGCTCTCCCTCCTAACAGGACCAGGACTGTACAGGAGTGGGCAGCAAAGGAAGGATACGCAAGAGCTGAAAGAACCTGCAGGTGGAAGGTTTAGGGGGCAGTGTCCTGAGCTCTAAAACTTGGAAATCTGGCTGGGCCTGCTGGCTCACATGTGTCATCCCAGCACTTTGGGAGGCCGAGGCAGACAGATCACCTGAGGTCAGGAGTTTGAGACCAGCCTGGCCAACATGGTGAAATGGCATCTCTACTAAAAACACAAAAATGTGCCAGGCGTGGTGTGTGCCTCTGTAATCCCGCCCTACTTGGGAGGCTGAGGCAGGAGAATCTCTTGAACCCATAAAAGGGGAAGGTTGCAGTGAGCCAAGATTGCGCCACTGCACTCCAGCCTGGGCAACAGAGCAACATTCAAGAAAAAACTTGAAATCCATCTAAAACTAAGACGGACTGGTGGACGGCAGCTGTGAGGATGGAGCCGTCTGGCAGGTTTAGTTCTGGGGCCTCGGCGGTGAGTATTGGGTGTTCAGGGCATGGCTCCTTCTGTTTTACGAGGAAAGTTTTCTAGTAACTTGTTACGTTGGGGGAAAACAAGGGAGGCGAACTCATTTGTTCTGGAAATGCAGGGAGCAGCCCCGGTCCCTGCCTCAGTATTGGAGGGGGACGCCCCGGTCCCTGGCTCAGTCCCGGAGGGGGACGCCCCGGTCCCTGCCTCAGTCCCGGAGCGGGGTGCCCCGGTCCCTGCCTCAGTATTGGAGGGGGGCGCCGCGGTCCCTGCCTCAGTCCTGGAGGGGGGCGCCCCGTCCCTGCCTCAGTATTGGAGGGGGGCGCCTTTTTCCCTGGCTCAGGCCTGGAGGGAGGTGCCCTGGTCCCTGGCTTAGTCTTGGAAGGAGGTGCCTGGTCACCAGTGTGGCCATCCTGCATCCTCACGATTCTGCGTGCTCAAGATGCCACCTTCTTGAGGCTGTTTGGGGAAATTGACAAGCTGATTAAAACTGTTGAACTAGAGCCGGGCAGTGCTACGGACAGGGTGATGCCGGAAGGAGCCCCAGTGATTCCCGTGCTGCAGGGCATGCCCAAGACTGGGCACTAGCAGGGGGAAGAGGCTCTCAGGGCCCAGGTGGGACCCCCAGTCTCAGACTGTGAGGTCTTGACCGTGTGCGGCTCAGCCACCGGCTCTGGGGTTTTGCATCCACTTCGCAGGGTTTCCAAACCCACTGTCCCCAGGCCGCCTGCCCATCCAGCTGCAGCAGGGCAGGAGGAAGCGGAGGCCTCTTTCTGCAGGGAATGCTGCTTGGGCAGAGGCAGCTGATGGCAGACCCAGCGCGGTAACCCAGCCGGCCGGTGCCTGAGAGATGGGGCTGCCCCACGTGGTGCCTTGTCGTGCCTCGGGACAGGTCGCCCAGCAGACAGTGGCTGTGGTCCCAGTGCCGTCCTCAGCCGGAGCCACGTGGGCGCCAGCCACTTCTGGGCATGTTGCCTGGCCCGGCTGCCTTGGGGAGCCCTTGGGGCCATGTGCCATGTGGGCCCACTGGCTGATGAGCGAGGCCATGCCCACCCCCAGGCAGGCCAGCTTGCACAGCTGCCCCTTCACAGCTCCCCTGCGTGAAGGGTTGGCCTTCTCCTTCCTCAGGGGCTGCAGCAGCTGAAAGCTGTGCCTGGGGCCAGCACAGGGGCTCCTGCCTGCCATCTGGACACTGGGAGGCTTAGGCAGGTGGATCACTTGAGTTCAGCAGTTCAAGACCAGCCTGGGCAACTTGGAGCAACCCATCTCCATCTCTGCTAGAAACACAAAAATTAGTTGGGTGTGGTGGCGTACACCTGTAATCCTAGCTACTCAGGAGGCTGAGGTGGGAGGATGGCTTGAGCCCAGGAGACAGAGGCTGCAGTGAGCCGTCATCTCACCACTGCATACAGCCTGGGCAACAGAGCAAGACCCTGTCTCAAAGTTACAGCCTTCTGCCTTCTGCACTTTCCTGGGACGGGACCGAGCCCTGAAGTCCAGCGTGGCTGGTGGTCCCAGGAGACAGGACCTGTGCTCCTCTCTTCCAACGCATGTGGGCCGCAGGTCCCTCTCCAGCTGTGCTGGGCTCACCTGGGGGCCGGTGGGGGCCTCCCCCTGCGGGAGATGCCATGACCTGAGGGCGTCTTTGAGAAAGGGGTAGAGGAGTGTGGAGCCCCTGAGGCTCCCTGAAGGCTGTGAGAAACCTCCCCGGCTAGGGAGGGGTGGGGACGGTGGGGGAGGTTGGCAGATACCCAGGCCTGCAGTGCTGTGAACCAGGACAGGTGCTGGTGTGGGGAGGACCTGGCAGGCCCCAGGGCAGTGCACGGGCAGGCTGGGCCCAGGCCTGGCTGCTGGGTGAGGGTAGTTCTTTGGAGGGTGGTCCCTTTTGCCTCCTGTCTGGGGTGGGCGAGCTGGGGAAATGGGGGCTGGGTAGCCCGGGGTGAGAGGTGCTGATGGTCTCTATCCCCACAGGAAAGAATCTCTATACAAATGAATACGTGGCTATCAAATTGGTGAGTCGGCCCCTCCACCCCATCCCCGCTGACGCACCCCCAGGGATTTCTGGGCAGCGACCAGGGCCCCCAGTGACTCGCACCTGTGCCCCCAGGAGCCGATCAAGTCCCGGGCCCCACAGCTGCACCTGGAGTACCGGTTCTACAAGCAGCTCAGTGCCACAGGTACCGGGCAGTCCGCGGGTGGGGTGGGGGCTGCGCAGGGGCAGGGAGGGGGCCGCTGCCACACTCGGTGCGTCTGTCCTCCGCCGCAGAGGGCGTCCCTCAGGTCTACTACTTCGGCCCATGCGGGAAGTACAACGCCATGGTGCTGGAGCTGCTGGGGCCCAGCCTGGAGGACCTGTTCGACCTCTGCGACCGGACCTTCACGCTCAAGACGGTGCTGATGATCGCCATCCAGCTGGTGCGTGGTGGGCGAGGCCCGGCGGGGTGCACGTGGGCGGGGAGCACGTGGGCGGGGCGGGGCAGGGGGCCGGGCACAGGCCGGCAGACCCCGCTCTGCTGCCTGCAGATCACGCGCATGGAGTACGTGCACACCAAGAGCCTCATCTACCGGGACGTGAAGCCCGAGAACTTCCTGGTGGGCCGCCCGGGGACCAAGCGGCAGCACGCCATCCACATCATCGACTTCGGGCTGGCCAAGGAGTACATCGACCCCGAGACCAAGAAGCACATCCCGTACCGCGAGCACAAGAGCCTGACGGGCACGGCGCGCTACATGAGCATCAACACGCATCTGGGCAAGGGTGAGCTGCGCGCGCGCGGCGGGGGGTGGGCGCCAGGACCCCGCTGAGGCTGCGCCCCTGTCCCCGCAGAGCAGAGCCGCCGCGACGACCTGGAGGCGCTGGGCCACATGTTCATGTACTTTCTGCGCGGCAGCCTCCCCTGGCAGGGGCTCAAGGTGCGCACGGGCACCTGTGAGGATGAATCCCTGTGGGCGGGCGAGCGGGTGGGGCGCGGGGCAGGAGCAGGGCTGACTGCAGACCTCCACAGGCCGACACGCTCAAGGAGCGGTACCAGAAGATCGGGGACACCAAACGCGCCACGCCCATTGAGGTGCTCTGCGAGAACTTCCCAGGTAAGGCGCCTACGCCCCGCGCTCCCGCCTCCACCCTGCTCCCCCGCCCCAGCCAAGGCCCGCTCGGTGCTGTCTCTGCAGAGGAGATGGCCACGTACCTGCGCTATGTGCGGCGCCTGGACTTCTTCGAGAAGCCCGACTACGACTACTTGCGCAAGCTCTTCACCGACCTCTTCGACCGCAGCGGCTTCGTGTTCGACTATGAGTACGACTGGGCCGGGAAGCCCCTGGTAGGTGGAGGCCCTGGGGTGTGTGCGGGGGGTGCACCAGGAAACCGCCCCGAGGGGATGGGAGGCGGCGCTGCAGCCCATCCTGACCCCGGCTCTCCCACCCACAGCCGACCCCCATCGGCACGGTCCACACAGACCTGCCCTCCCAGGCTCAGCTCCGGGACAAAGCCCAGCCACACAGCAAAAACCAGGTGAGGCCCGGGCGGGACCGAGGCCCCAGGGAGGGGCACAGGCTGCCAGCGTGACCCCTCACTGCCGTCCCCCAGGCGCTGAACTCCACCAACGGGGAGCTGAACGCTGACGACCCCACGGCGGGCCACTCCAACGCCCCTATCACGGCACCCGCAGAGGTGGAGGTCGCCGACGAAACCAAGTGAGGCTCTGGGGGCGGGGGGGCCCTGGGTCCCCATGAGGATGGGGGAGCCTGATGCTTGGGCTGCCCCCATCCCCCCGCCGTTCTCACTTGGGCTGCCTGCATCCCCCATTCGGTCCTCACCTGGGCTGCCCTCATCCCCCCCTCCGTCCTCACCTGGGCTGCCCCCATCCCCCCCTCCGTCTTCACCTGGGCTGCCTCCATCCCCCGTTCCAGTCCTCACCTGGGCTGCTCCCATCCCCCACTCTGTCCTCACCTGGGCTACCCCCATCTCCCCCTCCGCCCTCATCTGGGCTGCCCCCACCCCTGCCCCCGTCCTCTCACCCTAGGCTGCCCCCGCCTCCCCCTAGTCCTCACCCCAGGCTGCCCCCACCTCCCCCTCCTCCATCCTCTCACCCCAGGCTGCCCCCGCCTCCCCCATCCTCTCACCCCAGGTGGTCCCCGCCTCCCCTGTCTTCTCACCCTGGGCCACCTCCCTCCCTAGATGCTGCTGCTTCTTCAAGAGGAGAAAGAGAAAATCGCTGCAGCGACACAAGTGACCGGGCGCATGCAGCCCCTGAATCTTCTCCGTGCAGCCCCTCGGGGCTTGAGCTTGTGTGAGGCCTTCGGGGCCCACCCACAGCGGCCCAGGGCCAGACCCTGGCTGGAAGCCAGGACGCAGACTGCAGGGGCCGCCCTGGCTGGGCTGGCGGCCCCACCCCAGGACGTGGGTCACTCCCTTCACGTAAGACTTTGGCGATATTCCTACACCTGTGTCTAGTCCTTCCCTCCAAGAGCATTAACTATTTAAAACAAGGAAAAAAGGAAAAAACAGAGGCCCGCCTTGCCCCCACGCCTGCCCCTCCGTTTCTTTGCTGAAGTGAGTAGTGTGATCTGGGGGCTCTGGCTGAGGCCCGGCCCCACCGGCCTCCCCCGTTAGCGTCATAAAGTCCAGCTTGTCTCCCTCGATCCAAAGGCCGTTTTCTCGAGGGGAGGCAGGCCCGGCCTGGAGGGGTGCCGTGGGGCCGTCTTGCCCAGGCCCTCCTGGGAGGAGCACAGGCATTGCTGCCAGGGGTGAGGCCGTGCCGCGGGCCTCCCCGAAACCAAAGGGGAAGGCGGGGGTGGCGCCACAGCTGAAGCCGGCTCCCCAACCAAAATGCTGCACCAAAGCCTGGGCGCCGCGGGCACAACCCCGCAGCCTCTTCCCAGCTGGTCCCGGCGAGGGCAGGTGGGCCCTGCCAGGCGGGTGCTTCTCAGTGCACCTGCTCCCAGAGGCTGTGCCCCGACGCCCAGAACCCGAGGTGGGACGGCTGGCTGGTGTCGCCCTGCTCAGCCCCGGGCCGTGCTGCGTGGATCGTGGGCACGGGGCTTCCTGCCTCTGTGCTCCGCCACCCAGCCAGCGGCCAGACAAAACGCCTTAAAGCCCCGGCCCAGCCCCGCAGGTGTGCGCGCAGGGGCCTGGGGGCGCCCTGGACTGGCAGGCGGTCCCCAGTGGGGTTGCCTGGAGGCTGCCAGGCAGAGTGGGGCAGCTTGGGGCCGTGGCTGGGAGTCTAGGGTTTGCTTTACCAAGTGTACAGAAATGGCATTCACGTTTCTTTGACGCTCCCTTGAAGCCATAGAATTTAGGGGCTTTTTTAAAAAAATAAAAAAAATGAAATCAAACCCAAGTGTTGTGTCTGGACTTTGTACGAAGCTTGGCCTGGAGCAGACAGCGCCTCCATCACAGCCCTGCCCACAGGGGAGGGACAGGTCAGAGGGTGACGGCGCGGCGGAGCACGGGAAGGTAAGGAAGACAGAGGCAGAGGGGAGAGCTGGGCTCTGTCTGGGGAGAGGGCAGGAGACAGTTTTCACTGACCTTGGAAAGGGGAAGTCACAAACAGGCAACTATTCCTATTCCCCAAAGCTGCACAGAGACCCAGAAAACGTCAGCGATGGGGCCCAGGCGGGGTGGTCCCGGCCACCTCTCACAGCAGAAGGCCTCCTGACTCGGGGAAGCAAGCGTCTGCCTGGGGTCCCACAGCACAGTGGAGGAGTCAGCAGTAGCTCCCGGAAAAGCAGAGGGAAGTGCAGGCAGGTGAGGACCGTGGCAGCTCGACACGTACCTTCCCCCCGGACAATGTCCGGTGGCAGCTGGGAGCAAGCGTCCACACGTGGCTGCCTTTGCAGGGAGACAGAGGCAGAACTCCCCACATGCCGGGCGGGATCTCCGTCTCCCCTGCTGACCTGTAAGGCTGAGGGGAGTAAAGGCAGCAGAGGGCAGCGGCTGGGGGAGGTGGAACTGCCCACCCTCCTCCACGAACAGCCAAGGAAGTCCACCCTTCCCCAGACGAGTCACCATGAACTGAAGGGGACACACAGGTCCCTCCCAGGAAGCACTGGAGACCAGAAAGCCATCCCAAATCAGAGACTCAGAAGCACAGAAGTGGACAAACCACCGATGATGAATTCAGGACGGAAACATCGGAAGAAGAAAAACCCGTTGTGGAAATGAGTAAATTGCAAGGTGCCCGAGACTCCCATGAAAACAGGAGGAAAGGCACTGCAGGCAGAGTAACTGAGAAGGTGAAACACGACAAGAGACCGCCGGACACGGCACCCAGTCCCTGAGAGGGGCCAAGAACAACTGGGCTTCGAGTCTTCCAAGAAGGGAAGCAAAACAAGCAGGTAAGACCCTTGTCCAAGGAGGCTTTGCAGAAAAAGACCCAAATCTCCACGTTGAACGTGCACCTGAGAAAATTAAACCAGAGCAGTCCGCCAGGTGCAGTGGCTCACACCTGTAATCCCAGCACTTTGGGAGGCCAAGGTGGGTGGATCACGAGTTCAAAGAGTTCAAGACCAGCCTGGCCAACATGGTGAAACCCCATCTCTACTAAAAATATGAAAATTGGCCGGGCGCGGTGGCTCAAGCCTGTAATCCCAGCACTTTGGGAGGCCGAGGCGGGTGGATCACGAGGTCGAGAGATCGAGACCATCCTGGTCAACATGGTGAAACCCCGTCTCCACTAAAAATACAAAACATTAGCTGGGCATGGTGGCGTGTGCCTGTAATCCCAGCTACTCAGGAGGCTGAGGCAGGAGAATTGCCTGAACCCAGGAGGCGGAGGTTGCGGTGAGTTGAGATCGCGCCATTGCACTCCAGCCTGGGTAACAAGAGCAAAACTCCGTCTGAAAAAAAAAAAAAAAAAAAAAAAAAAACAACTTTAAGACAGAGCCTAGGGCAGCGTCTTGCCTGACACTTGCTTGAGGCCAGGAATTCAAGACCAGCCGGGGCATCGGAGACCCCATCTCTACAAAACAAAAATTAGTCGGTCTTGGTGGCACATGCCTTTAGTCTCAGCTTACTTGGGTGTCAGGCAGGAGGATCACTTGAGCCCAGGAAACTCAGGCTGCAGAGGGCAAAAGGACCCCGTCTTGTCGCCGGGCTCGGCAGCTGACACCTGTTATCCCAGCGCTTTGGGAGGCTGAGGTAGGTGGATCACTTGAGGTCAGGAGTTGGAGACCAGCCTGGCCAGCATGGTAAAACCCTAACTCTACTAAAAATACAAAAATGAGCTGGGTGTGGTGGTGGGCGCCTATAACCCCAGCTACTCGGGAGACTGGCGCATGAGAATCACTTAAAGCCGGGAGGTGGCGGTTGCAGTGAGCTGAGATAAAAAGACCCTATCTCAAAATAAATGTTCCAAAGGTGAGACCAAGGTAGTACCAGTGTCACGTGACAAGGTAGAAACAATGTAACTGCAAGTCAGGTGGCACTGATGGTTTTCCTGGCAGTAGCTTGGGGATAAGGATTACCCATAGTGTGTTTATATTTTTACCCACGTTAACCTCTTGTAATGCTCTTCATTTCTTTTTTTTTTGAGATGGAGTTTCGCTCTTGTTACCCAGGCTGCAGTGCAGTGGCGGGATCTCGGCTCACCGCAACCTCCGCCTCCTGGGTTCAGGCAGTTATCCTGTCTCGGCCTCCCGTGTAGCGCGCACCACCATGCTGGGCTCATTTTTGTATTTCTTTTTCTTATTTATTTATTTTTATTATTTTGGTATTTCTTTTTTTTTTTTTTTTTTTTGGAGACGGAGTTTCACTCTTGTCACCCAGGCTGGAGTGCAATGGCGCGATCTCGGCTCACCGCAACCTCCGCCTCCTGGCTTCAGGCAATTCTCCTGCCTCAGCCTCCCGAGTAGCTGGGATTACAGGCACGCGCCACCATGCCCAGCTAGATGCTCTTCATTTCTTTCTACTGCTCAGAGATTACCTCTGGGATAATTTCAGCCTGAAGAACTTCCTTCAGTTTTTTTTTTTTTTTTTTTTTTTTTTTTTCTGAGACGGAGTTTCGCTCTTGTTGCCCAGGCTTGAGTGCAATGGCGCGATCTTGGCTCACCGCAACCTCCGCCTCCTGGGTTCAGGCAATTCTGCCTCAGCCTCCTGAGTAGCTGGGATTACAGACACGCACCACCATGCCCAGCTAATTTTTTGTATTTTTAGTAGAGACGGGGTTTCACCATATTGACTAGGATGGTCTCGATCTCTTGACCTTATGATCCACCTGCCTCAGCCTCCCAAAGTGCTGGGATTACAGGCGTGAGCCACCGCGCCTGGCTATTTTTTTTTTTTTTAAGTTGAGATAGGGTTTCCCGTCTGGCTATTGTCGAGGCACTTCAGGAGGATGAGGTGGGAAAGTGATCCTGGGAATGGAGGCGTGAGCTACTACACCCGGCCGAATCCAGCTGTGTTGGTAACAAATCATAGATTATCTCAGCTTTTCCTTAAAAAATACTTATTTCACCTTTCTTCACAAGGATGTTTTTGCTGGGAATGGAATTCTGGGTTGACAAAGTACATGTTTGTGACAAGTCTCGCTCTGTCACCCATGCTGGAGTGCAGTGGCGTGACCTCGGCTCACTGCAGCCTCCACCTCCCAGGTCAAGCAATTCTGCCTCAGCGTCCCGAGTAGCTGGGATTACAGGCATGCACCACCACGCCTGGATAATTTTTATATTTTTAGTAGAGATGGAGTTTCATCGTGTTGGCCAGGCTGGTCTCGAACTCCTGACCTCAAGTGATCCACTGCCTCAGCCTCCGAAAGTGCTGGGATTACAGGCGTGAGCCACTGCGCCCGGCCAACAGAGTCTTTAAAATGTTTTTGTTTATTGCCTTTCAGCATTTTAAATACATCGTTCCATCCTTTCTGTTGGGAGGTTAGTTGGCATGGTCTTTCCTTTTGAAGTAATGTACCTTTTTTGTCTGGCTGCGTTCAGAGGTTTTTTTTTGTTTGTTTTTTTGTTTTCTTTTGTTTTTACTATAAGAAAAAGAATAAAGAAGAGGAAGAAAGAGGAAGAGGGAGAGAGGATGGGGGTATTGCTTTATTGCCCGGGCTAGAATGCAATCTAAATATGGGTATGCCTATAATTGTCCTTAATAATGGAGACATAAAAGAAAATGAGGGAAGAGAATAACAAACAAGGAGCCAACCAACATTTCGTTTAAACTTCTAAATTGATATTATGTGGTACTGATAAGAGTGTATATTTTGTATATTTAAAGTGGAGAATTCTATAAATGTTAATTACATTTACTTGTTCCAGATCTGAGTTCAAGTCCTGGATATCGTTAATTTTCTGTCTCATTGATCTAATATTAATGTTGAAGTCTCCCACTATTATGTGGGAGTCTAAGTCTCTTTATAGTCTTGTATGTCTGCGTATTCCTGTATTGGGTGCGTATATATTTAGGATCTTTAGCTCTTCTTGTTGTTGCATTGATCCTTTTATCATTATATTATGTCCTTCTTTGCTTCTTTTGATCTTTGTTGCTTAATTGTAACTTCTGCTTTTTATTTATTTTAGCTCTCTGTTTGGTTGGTAAAGCCTTCTCCATCCCTTGTTTTGAGTCTTTGTGTATCCTTGAATGTGAGATGGGTCTGGATGCAGCATACTGATGGGTTTTAGTTTTTTATTCAAATTGCCTGTCTGTCTTTGGATTGGGGGATTTAGTAAATTTAAATTTAGAATAAATAATAATATATCAGAGGTTTTTTATCTTTGGTTTAAGTGTCTGGACTATGGTTTTCTTTGCATTTATCCTGCTTGGGATTCGCAGAACTTATTGGATCTGCGAGTTGATGTCTTTCATCAGTTTGGAAACTCTCTGGCTGTTACCTCTTCAAACATTTCAGCTTCATTTTCTCTGTTCTCCAGGACTACAGTTACCTGTACAGATGACCATTCCATATTATTCACCAGGTCTCTGATACTCTGTTCTGGTTTTTAATTGTTTTCCTTTCTTTTTTTTGAAACAGGGTCCCACTCTGTCACCCAGGCTGGAGTGCAGTGTGTGGTCATAGTTCACAGCAACCTCGGCCTCCTGGGCTCAAGTGATCCTCCCACCTCAGCCTTCTGAGTAGCTGGGACCACAGGCACTCACCATGCCTGGCTAATTTTCTAATTCCTTGTAGAGATGGAGTTTAACCATGTTGCCCAGGTTGGGCTCAGGGATCCTCCTGCCTTGGCCTTGCAGTGTGCTGGGATTACAGGTGTCGGCCACTGTTTGTATGGTTTAAATTTGCTGTGAATTTTCTAGTTTCTTGAGATGAAAGTTTAGACCATCAGTCTTAAACCTTTTTTTTTGAGATGGAGTTTCATACTTGTTGCCCAGGCTGGAGTGCAAT